CATGTGCCTCTTCCCTTCCAGCTTCGGTCGAACTAGCTAACTCTAGAATTAGACATGAAAAATGGCGTGGCATACATCCGCACCTCGCGCTTTTAGCGTATAGACGTGGATGGGATTGCGTTCACCCAAGGGCCAGGCATGAGCGGCCGTCTATCGGTGGGATGTACGTCCGCAAGGACGCTTGCTGCTGTGCATAGGAAACCGCTCATCGGGGTGAACCATATGGTGCGTGTTCAATCTAGCCGCAGGCGTGGAGGCTGAGATGCGTAGACAGCACACCCGCGCACGGTCACACTTACCGAGCCTGTGCTGCCACCATTCCCGCATCTCACGCTGCGTGTCAGTGGGGGCCATACCACACTCGTCGTTGTCTATTCTGAAGACAAGTACGAGCGGGCTGCGGAAACTGTAGACGAAGCTCTCGGGTGCGTCCTTTCCCTTCTTTGTCCTCTACTCGGTACTGAACGTCTTGTAGGCAGACGTTCGATCCGCTGGGAGTGCGCTCCTCGGCTTGGAACGGGGTGATAGAGGGGTTGGAGCTGCTCTAGAGTCGTGTGCAGTCTCCCACGTTCCTACGGGGGGCAGTATGATATCTCCATGCCCCGGGTGATGCCCGGCAAGCTCGGACTCTCGTTTAGCGGACTTTACAGCGCTGCAGAGCGACAGGTTCAGCAGATCAAAGACCGCGAGGGAGAGCTGTCGGACAAAGTGAGAGCTGTGATCGCCGCTAAGTACGGTTTATCTTCATTTCACGTCTAGATCTTTAGCTGACAAGGACTAGGTTCCAGGAAGCCGCCATCGGGCAACTAGAGGAGAAACTCGTGCTTGCCCTCAAGTCTCTCCGGGAGAGGGGGATATATCCGAATGCGGTCGTCGCCTCGAGTGGATCCGGAATGGCGAGTGACCTCTACCTACGAAATCGGTTCGTCCCTCCCTTCGGCTCTTTTTTCACTCCTGGACGACGTACAGTCTCAGACTGGTTGCTGCTCCTGCTGCTGAGCCGATACCGGTCCTCTAACCCCCACTCGAGCTGTGATGATCGCATGGGCGGGGATGAGACGGTTCCCATCTGGACAGAGCGACGCATACGACGCGAGACCTATTGCCGAGTGGGAGATCGACAGTGAGCGGCCGAGGAAGAAGGTTGGGGAGCTATAGAATGGAAGCGCAGTGTCGCGGTGGTTTTGTCTGCCGTGGGTAGAAGCCATCTTGTGCATATACCATTGCTGACTGGGAGCTTCTCTAAATGGGTACAAGGCCGGCACAAGTGAAAATTCGGATACTACCGACCGCCTATTTTCCCCAACACTATTGGCCATGTTCTACACTTTGTTGTCGTTCTTGGGCGCTGTAATGAATCCGATGATTGCAATATTCGGCACCGTGGGGCGTTAGACAACATTTTTATCGCCATTCCTTTTGTCCAGTATGACGGACCGGCCCTTTCGAGTAACCTTCTGACGCCTGGAGTTGTGCAGTAGGATAGAAAACGGTGCTACTGGGACACGTGTCTATCATCTGCTCAGCTAAAACGAAATGGGAATCGTCGACATGCACATGCTATAAACTGAGGTGAATGATTACTTTATGGTATTCCCCCAGGCTAATTGACGCTGGATTTTGAACAGCCCATCAGATTTGTCCTGATACAGTGATACCCTACGCCATTGCCGCATGTTCGTTCTCCCAGCCCAGCGATTAGAAACAAACTGTGGAAGGATGAGCATAGCTAATCAAAGAGTGAAAGCATATTCATCTCACAGACTTCCCAGGACTGGAATTGGAGCTGTTCGCCATTGAGAACGCCACCGAAACAGGAATTGGTGTCCTGCAAGGTGCTGGCGGGTACCAAAAGGCGGGTGCCTCCTAGCTCCTTGCCAGTATACAGCCAGGCTTCACCTTGCGGTTAGAGTGAGCATTGGCACATATTGTTGAGCTGAAGAGTATTATTACAAGTATTACCGGCGAAATTGTTGGTAACTTTGAAAGAGTCCCTAGGAAACGGCGAGGTAAGAACACCTGATGCCCTCAGACAATGTATAAAACGCACGCAGGCCCGGGGAAGTCGCCTGTCGTGTCACCCTTCGAGAGGATATTGAAGCTCTTCTGGATGTCTCCTTCACAACCTACACAAGGCACCGAGAATAAGAAATGTCCAGCCTCTTCGATCAAAACATACTGACTACTCTTCGCAAAGGCTTCAAATGCCAAGAGCCCCCGCTTCTGAACGGGCGCGGCTTCGACCATGAACGGCAGAACAGCAAAAGCAACTATGGAAGGGATGAAAAGCATCTTGAGAGGATGGCAAAAGTGTTCGTCCTGGTCCTGATGTGGATATCTTACACTCTCTTTATACTGTTCTGAAGAACAACTGTGTCCTTTTCATTCCAACGACCGGACCGCCGCACAGAATGGGTAAGACGAATCACATGCAGCATTACTGCCTCAATTGGAGTACGGCCCGACCGATCTGACTGTCAATTTGTCCTGTTTTCTGTCGAGACATTTCATACCAACTAAGCAATCTGAAGCATGGCCGAACTTGACCTGCCGATGCTGTTTGAGGAATTGTGCGAGCAATGTACTAATTGTGCCAAGCGCAGAGCATGACACGTTTGTCATGGTATGTGGGCAATAAGTAAGAACACGGAATACAGCTGCGACACTGGCTAAAGAATGCACAGCGTTGGATCTATTCAGCTATCCTGTGTTCCGGGGGAGGGATAAATTTATTCCTAGGGGTGGGCCGTTGACATGTCAGGGCTCATCACCTGAGGAACCGATCGCGTGTCAGGTAAGCGGAGATCAGATGATCCGTGCGTCTCTTCGAACAGAACCATGCACTCTCTAACATCATCCTTGAGCAAAACCACATGTGAGTCCTCTCATCTAGCTACATCCTGCGCTCACATAAAGCAGACACGAGATATATTTCATGTATGTAACTTCGAGTATATCTGAATGAGGAAATTATCTAGTATCGAGAGGCATCTCTATGTTTTGCATCATTAATAATACTACCGGCATCACAGGGGCAAGGATATAATTGAGGATATAGAATTTAAACTGGATTGCATTCAAATTGTGCATATGAATTCTAAATGAATTGCATTCAGTGATTTCGGTGACCGACTAGTGTTCAAATGATTAATTCGTAGGATGCCCACAAGTATTTCCCCAAATGCCCACGGATCCGGCACGGCGATGACTGAACGTGCTTAACCGTCACATATACAAGGGCATAACACTGCACGTTACTCTAATAATACAAAGTACTTTCAGATATCATATACCTGCAATAAACCTAGAGACGAGTAGAAATTCGCATATCAACGTCCGGGTGCGGCAAAACGAAGAACGTCGACTTTCAGTTTGATGTTTTCATAGAATCCTCTACTCGCCTGTGGACTGGAACACCGGACGGTTTGGACTTGCTTGACGATGCATCCTCAATTTCCGCTTGGGGGCATTGTAGGGACAGTTAGGGTTCATTAATGGGTAGTCTGGGAAATACGCGGCTCGTTCACTTTGTGCCAAGAGTGGCAGTGCAGGACCCTTGCGCAGCCTTAAGGCAGAATTTGGTTCCATTAGGCTATTGATGTATCCTATATGTATATATTGTTGCTCTCCCTCTAATCAACGACTTGACACTAAGAATTACCTCCAAAGGATTACATATATATATTAATAGGTCACCATGGCCGATGCTAAATGCAACACAGGTATTTACAGATATTTCAAACCAGTGGTCAGCATTTACTTTAGTCCAAATCACGCCGGTCGCCCTTCTCCACTCTTTCTTGAGCCTCTTGACAATGATGCAACATGCAAAGTGTATATGTCTTTTTGCTGTTGACATGACCGACTTTGCATCAGCAGGGATGCATCCGACGAGTGTACGATGCCCGGCTGTCAGAAAAGTGAGGCCCAAGCAGTCCCTCCGTACCCGCCTCCCCAGTCCAGGTCTCCCCGAGTCCCATAGCTGGTACCGGGAGAACCGGATGCTAGTGGGCACAAAGTATGCACGAAGCGTGAAGGGAAACTATGCAGAGACTTGGGATGCGTCAGGGGTGGCGGCATTGCAAGTCTGTTGGACGTCCGCTTCCCAGGCTAGGTTATCCAGACAGGTCAGTTCAGAAGCAAGGCATGGCAAAAGGCTTAAGATACGGCGCTTTTCTTCTTCTTCTTCTCTTAACTCCAGTTCGGTGCATGAGCAATGTCACTTCTCGAGGCGTGAGAAGATCTGCCGTCTATTGTAAATGAGAAAGAAGAATGTAGACCTGCGGCTGGAAAACGAAATTCTCTTGAGCGCAAAAGCATCACAGCGATGATATCGACAACCGGCCCTGCCACCCTCCCACTGGAAAAGAAGATGGACTGCAGCTTGGGCATAGATAAAGGACGATTCACAGCAGCAAATTCATTGGTACATATACATGCCAAGTTTTGCGGCTCCGTTCTTCCCAGCGCGGCAGACCGGGTTCAGATAGCAGCTTCGTGCCGCTTTGCAGCCTCTTCAAAGTTGATCACGTTCCAGATAGCGGCAAGATACTGTCATGCGTCAGTGAGCTCGCCCTCCCATCCGAGCGCGGACGTACCTTGGCCTTGACGTTCTTGTAGTCGAGATAGAACGCCTGCCAGCTGGTCAGCTCATGGGTAGAGTAGAAGGGAAGGAACGTACATGCTCCCAGATGTCGATGCCGATGATGGGTACGTGCGCTAGAGCGTGTCAGCAAGCTGGAGTGCATGGGCGAAAAGGGACGTACTGAGGAGCGGGTCCTGGTTCGCCGTAGTGACAATCTCGAGCTTCTTAGTGCTCGTGTTCACTCCCTACGCAAGATGAGCACTCCCTCCCCTGCCTCACATAGGTGCGGACTTACCAGCCATCCCCAGCCGGACCCCTGGAGAGCGGCAGTCTTGGCATTCATCTCCTTCTGGAGAGCTTCGAGGGACCCGAACTCCCGCTCGATGGCTTCCTTCAACGGGCCAGGGGCGAGCTTTGCAGAGGAGGAGGAGGCGGGACACAACCCAGGCCAGAAAAGTGAATGGTTGATATGTCCTTCATATAGTCAGCAGAGATGAACGAGCAGAGAGTTGGGGACACTGGGACCGCAACGCACCACCACCATTGAACTTTAACGCGCTCTGAAGTCGGATGCGCTCTCTAATATCGTCCGTCGCTGCATAGCTCGATTCTGCAGCATTAAGCCCCGTCACGTAGGCTTGATGATGCCCATCATGATGGAGGGTCATGATCTCCTTGGAGATGTACGGTTCGAGGGCGTCATACGCGTAGGGGAGGGGTGGGAGGGTGTGCTCAAGCCTCATGCCTGCGAAGGCGCGTGTAGCGGGGCGTGTGAGTGCGCGTACGATGGGGCGGACAATGGGGAGCATTGTGTGAGTGGTGATGGTGGTGGTGGGAGGGAGAAGAGGTAGATGTATGCGCCTTGGTGAGTGCAAGGACTATAAACGCCGTGTTGGCACGGAAGCAATTTGTGACGTCGTCTGAGTGAATGAGCCAATCACGGCGTTGACGGTGCACGGACCATCTCTTCTTGTTGTTGTGTTGACCGTCGTCGTACACGTTGAGGGAGTCGCAAGTCGCAGTCGCAAGTAGACATGAGAGAAATCATTCAAGTTAAGCACAGGAACACGTTTATGCATTGCGATTCGCGTTCAACCTGCACTACGTACACAGGCAGCTTTGTGTTGAAGATAGTTAATTGCTTTCATAGACCGTAAACGGGAATGGGACGAGTGTGTAAACGAATTATTTCTTGTCGCCCTCCTCAGCCACCTTTGTCGCGAGTGCATCGTGTTCCGCCTCGAGGGCGGCCTGGTGTGCGTCAGCGTGTGGTCATTGTGAGGGGAGTGAAGCGGAGAGACTTACGAGGTCATCCCTCTGCTTTTGCAGCTAGTGAAGATCAGCATAGGGATCGATTATAAGAGAGAACACTCACCGCCGCTCTGAGCTTGGCGAGCTGGGCCTTCTCCTGCTCACGAATGAAGATATCTACACTTCCTCAGTAGGCGCTCCAACCCCAAACGCAATGTGTGACTCACCCTCCTGCGCCTTCTCCCTCTTCCTATTCCCTTATCAGCCTCTCCCTACAAGCACCCAAGAAGACGGAACACACCCAAAGCCCTGGCTGGTAGCGACCTTCCCCTCCGACCTGCCATCGCTGTACATCCTTCCCAAAGCCGGGACGTACCCAGCGGGGCGAGCAAGTGCCTTAGGGCGTGAGAGGACGGCGGTGCGGAACATGATTTGACTGTGCTTTTCCCCTTTAGTGATATATATACGATATGAAGGAAGGGGCGCACTCTTCCAAGTCTGTTGAGTACGTCGTTCGGGGTGAATGAGCGGTGGGAGCGGGACGGGAGAAGACGGTTTTCATCATTGCACAGCCACTAATGGACCCTTACCGCGCGTCACGCGTCACTCACTGTCCATCTCCTCGAGCTCACCGACCAACGTCAACGTCAATGTCAGGCCCACCAGTGCTCTACCACTGTCCATGCTCGCAACTTCATGCACCTCCCCCCAGCCTCCCCTCGGCAGCGAACCAATCTCACCCGCTAGAGACGCTCTATTTCTGCCCAGAGTGTGACGCCATCCGATGTGCGCGATGTGTGAGCGTCGAGGTTAGCACGTATTATTGTCCAAACTGTCTGTTCGAGGTGCCCAGTGCGAGCGTGCGCGCGGAGAAGAATCGGTGAGCCTGAGTGTATTGGTGCTGAACGATGCTGAACAAGTGCAGATGCGCAAGGAACTGCTTTGTTTGCCCCGCATGCTCCAACACTCTCCAGACAGTATCTATGGACCCCAGCTCATCGACGCCCTCAGACCCAGGGGAGAAATATATTCTCTACTGCACATACTGCCGGTGGGACTCTACCCTAGTAGCTATGACATTTGACAAGCCACAAGGACTAGCCTGTACGTTCCTCCCTTCCTTGCCCTCTAAACCCGGCTAACCGAAACCAGCACAATTCCAGAAGATAGAAGACGACTCTCCCTCTATGCGCGAACTCGAGAGGCTTCGAGACCACTTCGAGCCCCTGCTCCGGCCCCGCACGTCCCTTCACCCCTACACACACGCCCGCTCTTCCTCGGCGAACAACGCCGCTCTCGCCACGCTCAGGCGGGATGGTCGTGACACGCATGGGCACGGGATGCGCGCAAGCCGACTTGGGCGGTCCGGGAGAGCCAGAGATGTCGAGAGAGAAAAAGAAAAGTACGAAGACGACCTCCCTTCCTACAAGTCCATCACCGCACCGGACGAACCCTCGGAGCAGGAAGACATCTCCCTCCTGCGTTCTCTGACTGAAGTGGACGACATCCTCCCCCTCTCCCAGCAGCAGACTGACAGCTGGATCCCCCCTCTGTACATGACAGACCAGCGCCCGCTCCGCCTTCCCCTCCAGAGCAAGAAGTCTAAGCGCTGCCCCGCGTGCCGGCATATCCTCATTCGCCCCGAACAGAAAGCCCAATCCACAAAATTCAAAGTCAAGATTGTCGCTGCGAACTACCTGCCGGCGCTCGAGGTCTCCCGGCCGGAAGACGCATCCGTCTCCCATGTGAGGCGGCGGACGGGCACGGTAGGCAGCTCGGGGGAGATGGAGCTCCATGCTGGCAGGAGCTACCATTTTGTCCTTGCGCTTACGAACCCGCTGTATGACCCGATCAACCTCCGCCTGGGGTTGCAGCAGCCTTCGGGTGAGGGGACCAGCAAGCCGCATTTTGCTGTCCACCTGCCGACGAACACTATCGGTGTGGCGGCATTCACGGATGTGTGGGATTATGACGAGGACGAGGCTGGTGAGGAGGACGTACCCCGTGCAGGACAGAAAGATCTCCCGGGTCGGTGGAAACTCGGCGTCGTGGAGCGGAAAGCCAACACTACGAAAGTCGGAGGCGAGCTCGTGTTGTCCAGAGAGGCGCAGGGAGACGTCAAGGTCAACCTGCTTGTAACGTATACGTACAAGTCTGAGGACTCCCAGGCAGCGGACGGGAAGGAGAAGGGAGAAGCGGAGCTCAAGACGTTTGCGTTCTGGACAGTAGTCTGGCTGGGGACTGTCCCCCTCAGGCAACCAGAGTCAACTTCCCAGCCCGTGAGTTGAAGCAGGTTGTTGTTATAGGTTAATTTCTCTCCCGCGGGTAGATTATCATTGTGAAATTGTGATACCATGTACTGTAATACACCGGGTTGTTCCATACCTATAATTGGCCCTTTTGTGGGCCAACAATTGGCGTATCATACCGCCCTTCCGCCAATAGCGCGGATGACATTCTCATACACGGTGAAGATGATACCGCCGCTCAACTTCCCTTCGTTTAGTGGTCTGAAATGGTCAGTAATATAAAATACGTACGATCAGCCGTGCTAGCCGGGGGGTCGTCCCCTTCCAGAAACGCAGTGCGCCCTCCTCGGTGAATATCCTATACGCGCAGTGGAACGAATTGTGGTACTGTTGCTTAGCGGTGAGAGACTGCATTCGAGTCTTGATCACATCCAAGGGCATCGTCACGTCTGCCTGGTTGTCAGTACACGGATTCCCTGTGAAGGATGAGCACGCACAGACAGTCACTATTCCCGCGATAGCTCCAATCCCGAATGTAACCCAGCTAGGCAGTGCCTGCCCTGGTCTAGCATTCCCTTGCACAAACTGCTTTAACGTCGAATACGTTGAGAACCTCACTGCCGAGTTTGCTCCTTGTCGCATCATCTGAAGTCCTATCAGATCTGCTGCCTGGGATGGAGATTTGAGGGAGGTACGACGGGGAACAGACCACGGTAGATGCCTGCTATGCCCTCATCTCGTATTATAGCAGCGGTGCCAGGGATGAGGCCTTTCGGATACTTGGGCTGCGCTCGTCGAGCATCATCGATCAGCTTCGTCCTGCGAGGCTAATGAGATCCTGGCTGAAAATGATCATAGAAGGGAGAACGCACTTGATCGTCTCCGTTGGTGTCACCGCAAGTATGGCCTCCATCATCCCCGCTCCCAACCCCGCTACTAGACTTTTCGGTGGTGAGACCTTGCCCTGCTCTCGTCGTCAGCACACGTTCTCAACCACACCCAAGCGGGGCATCACACACATCCTTATCCGCTAACAACCCCTTGAAATAATCGTAGCATAGGAACCGTACACCGGCCTTCGCAGCATTGCCTATTATTGGTGCACCAACTCCAGCGTACAACCCGAGAATGCCGCGATCTCGGATCGTTTCTCGAATTATTGTTATAGGACCGGGCGCCTATATTCATATCAGCAGGTATTCAAGTCGGTGCAAAATATACGAACCTTTTGACCTGAAGAATAGCTGAATTGGGCTTGTGTCTGAATTTTGGGTTCATTGTTGCAACCGAATGATACAACATTTCCTTACCTTTACGTATTCTGCCGGGTACGTGAGGAAGCTCTCCGTCCCACCTGCAGCAATATATTAGATATGAATCGGTAACTGGACGAGTTAATTACCTGCGATTGCGCCTGCAAATAGGGAATGCAATGGCTTCTCCTTGCTTTTCACAGACATGTTGGGACGTGGTTGGAGAAGATGTGATATTTCAACCGTTCTCCACCATGGACTTCGGCTGTTCAGGGTACACCATCACGGCACAGTTTCTTTCAATGTCAATCACACGGAAAGCGGTTATCATACTCAAATCGCCGAGTACGGGCGACTTAACACTAGATCCGTACTACAAGGCTTTATCAGAACATGAATACGCTGTTCACTTCATTCCGGTTCTCGAGGATGCCTTCTGCAACGAAGATGCTTTAGATAATACGTTGCTCGCTGGACCTTCAACCTTCTCCGGCGTCATAATCACCAGCGGTCGAGCAGTCAAAGCTTGGGAATCATCTGCTCGACGGTTGTCGGGCAACCGTCCCGAGTCTATTTCACCGGGTCAGTTGTCAGGATCTGCCGATTACCTACGGTTTCTGAGGTTCTTCGGACCTGCAGGTTGGGATCGAATACCGTTCTATGCAGTTGGGCGCAACACCGCTGAGCAGATGCGGTCGATGACTCAAGTACTCGGACTTCCTCCTTGTCTCTGTCCTGGACACATAATAGGAGATGAGTCGACCGGGACTGGGGAGAAGCTTGCCCATTTCATCGTCAGAGATATGGCGAAGCGTGGCGATTCCCAAAACCCACATCGTTCACTGTTATTCCTCACCGGCGACAAAGTATCCAATAGTATACCCAATATACTTCGGCAATCTGGAATATCCACTGAATCTTTACAAGTATATGAGACTCGGTCGTCGTCAACATTTGACTCTGACTTCGAGAACACCCTACGGGCCATCAAAGGCAAGTCGTATCTCTTGGCCTTGGACCGCATTCTAATACTGTGCAGAGGAAGACCTCGCTTGGGTGGCATTCTTCTCTCCCTCCGGAGCCCGTACTGCTCTTCCATCCCTGCGATGTCGATTCCAGCTAAAGACACTCGATACGGAAAGCACGGACTGCACACTTCGACTGGCAGTCATCGGTCCCACTACGGCGGCATTCCTCAAGGACAAATACCAGCTTGTAGTGGATGCGATGGCACTGAAACCGGATCCGCACGCACTTGCGCAAGCCATGTCATGTTGCGATCATCTGTCGTCAAGTTGAGGGTCTGGAGTAGTGCAGTGACGGTTACTCCTTCAGTCCGGATGATCTTTAGGGCTTTCCGGCAGTTCGAATTGCCATGCTGTTGCTTGCTGGAGAATGTGATGAGCATATGACCCTTCTCCAGATGTACTGTATATGTTTGGCACCTATTTCAAGATTGAGCTGTGAAAAGATGTGTAACACAATCTGGACAAACGTGACTTCCTCCCACTCCTGATACAATGTGTCCTCCTCTTCCTGAGCGTCTTCCATCTCAATGTCTTCCCATGCGCCCCCTCCCCCCATCTCCTGAATCATTCCATCATATTGGTCATGAAAAAATCGAATGGCTGCTGCCTCTTCCGGATCCGCCGCAAGTCGTTCTTCCTCTTGAGCTTGAATTTCGCTGGCTTATCGGTCCAGTGCAGCAATGGAGTACACATCTCGTCTTCTGCGCCCCCTCCGGAACAGTGGTGGATCTGGAATCAGCTGTTGCAAAAGTTCCTCGAGACTGAGCGCATTCTGTGGTGGTCCTGAACCAATGTGGGATTGTGCGATCCTGATCCGGATGGGACCTGTCGCTATCTGCCTTCCAGAATTTCGATGCAATGGGGCAGGAACAAGCCCTCCTCCCCGTCGTGACGGTCGGGCTGCCGTTCCGTGTCGTGATGGTTGGTGCTCATTCAGGTGATCCTCCAGATTGCGAGGTTGAGATGTTGGTGATGGTGCGGAGTGTGATGCCATCCTGTTGCTTCTTGGCTTGAGTCTTGCAGTACGCGTTCATACACTTTCTCCCTACCCAGCTCATGTCTGTGCCAGCTGCGCTCCTCATCAGCTCGCCGTGAAGCCTTCCAGACTGTCCAAGCCCTGCATCGCAATCCGTCCCACACTCCGGATGGCAAGCTAATGTGACTCCTACTGTACTGTAGATACAATAGATAGTCTAACTGAGCTCTCTTGTGAACCTCCTACAGGTGAGTGTGCTTCCAGATAACAGATGTCAGTATTCCGGTATATCAGTATATATACAGTGGTATGCTTGAGAAGGATGTAATATCAAGGAGAGGGGATACCTAGAGAGGGGGATACAGAGTGGTTGAAGGGGACAAGTTCAGTGCCCCATTCCAGCGGAATACTCGCTATCTAATATAGAATATGAAGGAATGTGGAGGTGGTAGAATAGAAAGTACTATGGAAGATAACTGAAACTAATTAAGTGAGACAAACCCTTGATATCAGTCTGGCAGTATCCAAATACTGTATGCAAGCCAGTAAAACAGATGTTCTGGCAGCAAATATATTGGGTACAGCTATGACAGACTAACTACAATACAAAGCTCATAGGTGGGCTGGAGCTTATCCTTGATGTGGGCACTCACTCAAGCACATATGCCATGCTCAGTTGTGCATTGGAGCTGCACTCATCTCTGGATGCAGTTCTCCTCATGCCTGAGCATGAAGCCAAGCCAAGCTGGCATGATTCCACCTGTTAGCTTCTGCCTGGGCACATCTTGAGCAAATTGCCAGCATCCTCCAGATTGCCCACAAAGGTCAATAGCTGCTGTCAGCTGACAGCCACCCTACACTCTACATGGCTATTCCAGCACTCAAGTCTCCAATGGGTGCATGGGAGAAGTTGCAGAGTGAGCAGTATGCACATGACCCAATCATGCAGAAGGTTCTCCAAGCAGGCCTGAACAAGATGAACTGCTACTATTTCAAGATTGAGAAGAGCAACACCTATGCAATTGCAATGATCCTCACCCCCACCAAGTACCTCAGGACATGGTGGAAATGTAAGGCAAGGAATGACCCAACAAAGATGCATTCATTGCTACATTCAAGCTATCTATCAGTCAGCACCTTTTGAGCTGGACAATAGGCCTCTCCCCAAGGATGCTGACCTCTGGGGCAACATGTAGTCAATGCCAGCATCCTCTCCACCCAAGTTCCTTTGGTACCTGAAGGAAGAGCCTGCTCATCATTCTGCTCTTGCCTCTGGCACTCCCACCACTCAACCTATGCAGATCTGTCACAGATGGCCATGAATTACCTTGCAATCCAAGGTTCCACCACAGCCATTGAATGTGTGTGGAGCAGTGCTTCCCACAAGGTCCAGTGCAAGGACTCTGTGTAAGTCCTTGGACAGGTCCCTGAGGTGGGTCATTACCATGCCTGAGGGACCTACCCTGCATGAACTAAGTCCTCACCTTAGGTGAAGCAGGGCACTCACTAAAAGTAGATAATGGAAAGTATCAGTCCTTGCCTTGTAGCAGGCAAGGACTCAGTAAAAGTAGAATTAAATATTATTATTACAATACAAAATGTGCCCAAGGTGCTGTCTCTACAACCCCCTCCACATCATTTGAGTCCTTATCAGGACTTTTGTTTACTGTGTAACATACTGTATTTGTAGACTCTAACTACTATAGATACATAGGTTATGTGCTCAGTCCAGGTGCATTATCTAATGATACATACTATACTACTGCTTGTTAGGGCAACACAGGCTGACTAAGTCTGCTCACCTAAGAGTGCCAAGAGTCTAAGCAGGCAACAAGGAAGTGGAGTAGACCTGATGACTAAGACCTATCTACAGTATAGGTATCTGTGGA